ACCCAATGCAAACTCGATCCAAAGCTTGAATCTTTTGCCCAAAACAAATCCTGAACCTCACTGCCTCATCACCTATCTCCCCCTTACCTCCGACTTACCGTAGTGCACTAAAAGATCCAAACTGGCATGCTGCTATGTGTGATTAATATAATGCATTGATCAAGAATGAAACATGGGAATTAGTACCCCCCTCCCCCACCCAAAATATAATCTCTGGTAAATGGCTCTTTAGACACAAACTTGGCCCATCAGGTGAGTTATCCAGGTATAAGGCCCGTTGGTTGGTCCGCAGCTTCAACTAGCGCTTTAGCGTCGACTACGACGAGACCTTCAGCCCCGTTGTCAAACCTGCTACAGTCCGCATCACTCTTAGCATTGCTCTGTCAAGAGGATGGCCCATTCACCAGCTAGACGTCAAAAATGCCTTCCTCCATGGTCAGCTACAGGAGACAGTTTACGCCAGTCAGCCTTCCGGGTTTCAGGATCCAGCTCGACCTCACTATGTTTGTTGACTCAAGAAGGCTCTCTATGGACTCAAGCAGGCACCGCGGTCGTGGTATCACAGATTTGCCAGTTTCATTCAGACTATTGGGTTTCGAATGTGCAAGTCGGATACATCACTGTTTGTTTTCTCTCATGCCATGGGCACAGCCTACCTACTCTTGTACGTTGATGATATTGTTCTCACAGCATCTTCCACAGCACTCCTCCAGCATCTCATCCAGCGGCTAAAGGCCGAATTTGCTATGACAGACATGGGGGACCTACATTTTTTTCTTGGCATCAATGTACACAGGACGACCAGTGGCCTCTTTCTCCACCAGACACAGTTCACTCATGACATACTTGAGCGGGCCGGGATGGTTTCTTGTCGCCCCATCTCCACCCCTGTGGACACAAAGGCAAAGCTCTCCTCCTCGTCAGGCACTCTGCTCCCCGATCCTACTCTTTATCGATCTGTTGTTGGAGCTCTACAATACCTTACATTTACTCACCCTGACATCACGTATGCCATCCAGAAGCTTTGCCTACACCTTCATGCCCCCCGTGATGCTCATTTCACGGCCATGAAGCGTGTCCTGCGTTATCTTAGTGGCACCTCCAACCATGGCATCCACCTGGCACGATCCTCCACTGACTCCCTGCAGGCATACTCCGATGCTGACTGGGCCGGTTGCCCAGACACCCACCGTTCCACCTCTGGATATTGTGTCTTTCTTGGTGATAATCTAGTCTCCTGGTCCTCCAAGCGTCAGGCTACCACTTCTCTTTCCAGTGCCGAAGCCGAATATCGCGCCGTGGCCAACGCCATAGCAGAGACGAGCTGGATCCGGAATCTACTACTGAAGCTGCATCAACCCCTTCGGCGTGCCACCCTTGTCTTTTGCGACAACGTCAGCGCTGTGTATCTCTCGACAAATCCTGTGCAGCACCAGCGCACCAAGCATGTGGAAGTTGATATTCACTTTGTCCGTGACAAAGTAGCACTGGGCCAGGTGCGCGTTCTCCACGTTCCCTCGTGTTCTCAGTATGCTGACATCTTCACTAAGGGACTGCCTTCCTTATTATTTCTGGACTTCAGACAAAGCTTGGGAATCAGACCTCCTCCACATCCGACGTAGCCGGAAGCATGTTAAATATATTGTATATATTTAATATATTGTATTATTCCCTTACCTTATTTGTATAGGTTTCCTTACTTGTGTCTCTCCTACCTTGTTTAGGATTGAGACTCCCCCTATATATATGTAATCACAACTCATTCAATCAATGAAAATAATAATTCTTCAAGATAAACTATACTATAGAGCTCTTTTACAAAGGAATTTTTCTAAGGTGGAGTTCTTCAATATCTTCATCACTTGCTACTCTAGAAGGTTTCTTGTTTGCCCAACACCACTCCTGAAATTGTTTGTGGATTTCTTTGATCATCAGGGTGTGTGGCGTTTGAAAGAAGGGGAGGAGGAGAAAAGGTGGGGGGGGGGGGGGGGGGG